GACTTTGGGCCATGGTGTGTTCCTCTTGTGCTTGTCCCTAACAGGCCTGGTTTTCTCCCCTTCCCCCTTCACATCTAGTTTAAAGCTCTATCAATGAGCCCTGCCAAGTCCTGCCCCAAAAGCCTCTTCCCCCTCTGGGACAGGTGCATCCCTCCTGCCACCATCAGTCCAGGTGCCTCATATAGCATCCCATGATCAAAAAAACCAAAACCCTGGCTATGGCACCAATCTCTTAACCATTCGTTGACCTGCAAACTCTTCCTATATACCTCCCTACCCATTCTTGCAGGAGGGATGGAGGCAAACACTACTTGCGCTCCAGACCCCCTAACTAGCTGTCCCAGGGCCCTGAAGTCTCTCTTCATTGCCCTTACATTTCTTGTAATAATTTCATCACTGCAAACCTGAAAAATCAGCAGCGGGTAGTAATCGGAAGAATCCACAAGATTGGGGAGTTTCCTTTTAACATCCCTAATCCGAGCCCCAGGGAGACAACAGACCTCCCTGTGAGATGGGTCTGGCCGACAAATGGGCCCTTCTGTCCCCCTCAGAAGGGAGTCACCCACCACAATTACTCTCCTTTCCTTCTTGATTGAAGAAGTCCTAAGGACTCGAGGTGACTGACGAGTCCTGGGCACTTCACTAGGTAAGTTTACCCCTCCAACTTCATTTTCTTGTTCCTGAATTTCCAACGCCTTGTATCTATTCTTCAAGGACAACTGAGAGGGTGGAAGGGGTTGGGAGGATTTTTTCTTGCCTCTTCGAGGTCGGACCTCCTTCCATTCCTTAATATCTCTTAAGTCCTCTCCATCTGCCTGGTGACAGGAGGGGAGAGGATCCGTCACTTGCCCAACGTCTTCTATCTGCCCCTGCCTCAGGGTTTGACTCCACCAATCTATTTCACTTTCATATTCTCTAATGGCCCTCAGTCTTGCAACCTCCTCTGTCAGCTTAACCACCTGCCTGAGGAGATCATTTACTTGCTCACACCGCACACATGCGCTGTCACTGGTTCCCTCTGATACCAGTGCCAGACTCAGGCATTCACTGCAGCCAGAGACCTGCACTGCTGCATGCCTGCTTGGGAGCTCCGTCTGAGTCCCCACATTCTTTGATTGAGTCATAAAACCTGTAACTCTGGACATGAGGAAAAAGGTCTGATGTAAGTGAAATTTGATTTGTATTACTGTGAGTTGCTTATTATTTATTTTACCTATGTAACAGAAAGAGGAAAATAAACCACAAGGAAATACCCTCTAATCACTAACAGCCTAACAACTGTTTTACCTACAGTGCTATCTTAAATATGTTGTTCAAGTGTTGCAGATGTGCAATTTAGACAAAGACAGTTCTACTTCCAAGCAGTGATTGGCAGGATTGTTCTTAATATTTCTCACATTTCCTCATGCTAGTAAAAGGACTGCTTCATGAGCACTTTCACAAGCTCAAAGACAAAGGATACTGGGAAAGAAATACCCAGTGCCTTCTCACTATATCCTTGGCTGTGTATCAGCAATGAAGAAATCACAGGCAACATTTTACATCTCAAGGGAAAACTGTTTCCCTGGCTTTTGACTCAAGGAGTCACAATAAAACCCTTCTGCACACCAGGCCCCACCAGATCCCTTCACAGTGTTTGAAAATGCTCCCCTGGACTCCAGGGTCTCTAGATTAGGCTCTAAAAGGCAGGTGGGAAAATGAATGTCTGCAGCACAAGCTTTCCACTTTTAGATCTACAAAAGCACAGATGCCATCACTACTCAGGCAGGCTGTAGCTCATCACCCAGAGAAAAAGCAAAACCATGGCGTTTCCTATTCCATAACATCCAGACCTTCAGAGTGAGACTAAAATGCCTTGCTTCAGCCAAATTGCAGGTCATAAGTGATGGGATAACACCCAGCTGGATAAGGAATCAGTACCACACACTGTGCTTTCCTCTGTTCCCTCTGCTCAAGTCCCAAGGATGGCATGTAGTCATGGTCTGCAGAGCCTTCTTTCTACATGTGCTTATGGTCAACTTGTCCTATGTTCATTCCACACTCCTAACTTTAGTGAGTCACTTCAGGATACAACTTGAAAATGCTTTTCTGCATAATAAGTAACAGATTGCTCAGAGTTACCACCAACGCCTCGCAGAACAAAATGGAACATGTTGGCAAGAGAAGTAATAGTAAGAACTGTATTTATTTTTCTTCCACAAGACAAAAGGGAAAAGCCCAAAGGCTGCTTTGGTTTGATCCTCTCCTTATCAAAACTTGTAACATTGACGCTACAGGGGAAAAAATAAACAAAACCACAACAAAAAGCAACACAACCAAAACCCAACCAACCAAAACAAACAGACAAAACAACAACAAAGAAAATAAAAAACAAAAAACCCCAGTCCACTTATCCAAAAAAGGCACTTGCCTAGAATAAGCAGTTGTACATTCATTGCAGTGGGTCCCAAACACGCCCATAACCAGTTCATGGTATTGCCACAGTAGAGCCCCCTGACCACCTTTATGATCACCAACCACCATTTTACTATTTCTGGTAGGGTTCCTAGCTCACTAAGGTTTCTGTTGTTTCACCCAAAGGGTCCAAAACAGAAGGAACCAGTAGAAGGAGAAACCTTGCCTTATTGACCGCACACTGACAGTCAGTCAGACAGGCCAGTGCTGACAATTTTGTGGCTGCTTCTAAAGAAAGCAGTGAAAAGAACCCCCAGAGCAGTGACAGTGAGAGTGGGGAGTAAAAACAGCATCCGGTTCTATCACTTAGCATGTTGAAGAACGCTTATACAGTCAGGAAAACTTGCTGTTTCCCCACAGAGTCTTTTTCTTAAAGATGTTCATTATTGGGAGAGCTGCAGACATTCAAAATCCTGATTAATACCTCCAGGATATACCATAAAGCTGAACAGAAGAAAGGGGCAGCACTACATACAAACAGACATGAGGTGCCAGCTACTGGAGGGGTGTCTCCAGCATCTTCTTCATTCCAGAGTAGCCACTTGTGCACAGACCTCACACCCTGCCCAACTCACAGGCAGGTAGCTTTCAGTGAGAGCAGCACTGGCCTCTGATCAACACCAGAAAGCTCAGGTGTAAAAAAAATAAATGTAAAAAGTGCACAACCTCCTTAAGCTCCCATGGCCATATTCCCTGAAGAACAGGGAACTGTTTTGTAGAGCAATTTGTCTTTCTCATTTTCATCATCAAAGAAGAGACAAACAAACCTGAGACAAACAGAGAAAAGTTGCACGTAAAGTCTTTTACATTTTTGACAATTGCCTTGGCTGAATTGAGCAAACCCTCACATTGTCCTGGGAAACAGAGGCCTCAGACAACTGCAGATCTAGAAGTCATTTGAGTAAGACTCAGAGGACTTGCGGGAAGCACCACATGAAAGAGCTGTCACCTTGGGGCAAGGTGACATTGGAAATCTGACCCACTTGTGGTCATCAAAGGGGCCACTGGACCACCCCACTGCTGTTTCTAGGCATAGGAAGAGGAGGCACACTTGAGGAAGGACAAACTTTACAGTTAGATCATAATCTCTTAGTTGTGTAGGAGACGGGGATGGCCAATGCTCTGCTCATCTGTGTTAAATCCTATCATAGTGCCAAGCTCAAGTGCCTCAGCAATCCCCCTCAGAATGTGCAGGGAAACAGACCTAATGATGCTGATGGTCTCCACCTTATTCTTGTTTCTCACTGCTTTTTCTCCATTATTTTCTGACAAGAACTGTAAGAGCATCGATACATCCTTTTGGTCATTATGGCAAAGGACAAGTTTTCTCCCATAGTTTGTCCAACAAAGTTGCCTCTGAGCTGGGAACCCTTGGAGGCACAACAGCACCTTGTGAGATACATGTTAACTTTCTCCACTGCAATTCAGGAAGATGCTCAGGCAGAGGAATAAATCTATCTAGTGTCCTCCTCAAGATCTCTTGGGAGAGAATTGTACTCCTGAACAGTGAATAGCAGTAATATTCCATGCTATTTGAAGAGGTCCATCATAAATGACTCACAAATTGGCTTGAATTTAGACAGCACGTGTTCTCTACCAAGGTCTCTGGAACCTTGGAAATACTTGGAAATACAACACCTCTCCTTCAGGATCCATCCAAGTGCTGAAAGATCTGGTCCATCTTCGATGCAGTTATGGACATTTGGTCATGGAGACAAACTCAATGTAAAAAGATAGTTCAGCCCTTCCTGTATCAGGTGCAATTCAAGGTGTGATTTGGATGAGCTCTCCTGCTCATGGCAGGGTGTCAGTTTGCCACTACCATAACAGAAATTGTTGTGCAAGAGCTTCTTCTAAATGATGAGCTGACTTCAGATTCTCATGTTCTGATTCACACCAAATTTCCATGTCCTTAGATCTCTGACATTGAACAGAGACTGCAGCATCCTGCTCTTGGGTTCAAACCACACATGAGAAAGTCTCCTTCACTGAAAGCCTGAAAAGAGAAGGGAATGAAAAGGATGTTGGTTCAGCCCTTTTTTCTCTTTTCCTCTACATTTTTCTCAGGATGCCTGCTCTGGCACATCCTTAATTTCTTCCTCAGTTCCTGTTCTTTGCTCTCCCGTCCTTTTGTTGCTTTGAGGACTGCACTTCAGATGTCCTGAGAATCAGGCAATGAGATATGCACTTCTACAAAGGCCTCTTCCAGGTTTACATCCATAGAAAGTAGCCTTACTCCTCTGAAAGGCTGATGCAAACTGCCGTGAGTGGCCCAGCACTTGCTCCCCTCCTGAGATTTCTCTACCTAACCAAGCAGAGCAGAAGAAGGGTCCTGCGGAGAAACAAAATGTTGCTGGCAGGCAGTTAAAGTCAGGACAAAGAGCTGCACAGACATCAGCTGGAGCTACAGGCTCCAGCTACACCCCACAAATGGCTTTTATCATTGGCTCTTCACCACCTCACTTCAAAAGAAGGTTCATTCATGGAGGAACAGCAGAAGAGTTATAGGATCCTGGGCAACATCACCTAGCTGACCCTTGCACGAGTCACTGCCACTCAGAGTCCTTCTTCATGATATCATATGTGGCAGGGCAGAAGTGAGATTGCAGCTGAGCCAGCAAAGCCTGGGATGTGATCTTGAGCCTTGTTCCTTGGCTCTTCTTGTTCCATACATGCACCGCATAGGTGTTACTGAACAGGTGGTGAAGCTCCGAGGAGCTCACCACTTCAAAATATTTCTTCCAGTCCTGCCACCGGATGGGATAAAAAGCCTCACGGGGCAGAGCACTCACTCCTTTGCAGCTCGTACTGCTCCGAAGACTTCTGATGGAGCACCACTTCTTGAAGACACGAGTTAGAAGCTGTGGGCCCTGGTGCCCCCAGATCCAGCTATTGTAGTTCTCCACAAAGTCCTGCATGCAAAGCTCTATAAACTTATGCTTAGGTTTAAAGGACAGGAAGGCCCCGTTCAGTACATACTTGGACTGGGTACCAAGCACGTTGCTGAGGTTCTTTAAGTTCTTAAGCACAATGAAGTCTGTGTCCAGGTAGATGCCACCAAATTTCCACATGATGGCAATTCTGCAGGCATCAGACAGGACAGGCAAGAAATAAGGTTCCCACCGGTGCTGAGCCTCCGAGTACCACTTTGCCAGAGGAGTCCCTGAGAAAAGCTCTGGCAAGTCCAGGTGACGCATTTCCACGTTGGGGAAGCAGCTCAGCAATGAGAAGCCCCAGTGGTTGGGTAAGGAGGCATTCCCGTTTGCCAAGCCTTTCATGAGCACCACAACCCTTGTCCCAGGGTGCGTCCGGGCTGCAGACTCCACAGAGCAGGTGAACAGGTAACTCGGGTTAGTTCGCTCCGAGGTCTCCACAAAAAAGATGTCCCCTGGAGAAGAAGGGGGCCCATCAGCAGTGGCAGGGGGAGGAGAAGGCACAGAGTGAGCACAGTGTATTTCAACAGGCAAGCTGTAGAGCTGGCCCCTGCTCTTAGGGTCCTCTGTGATTCTCCAGTACAACACGATGGAGACAAAGGACATGAATTTAAAGGTGAGGATAAACAGAGTCCTGAGCTTGTGGCTCAGCACCACCCTGGTCAGCTTTAGCAGGCAGCTGGGCATCCTGAGCATTCTGGCTGCTGTTGGAGCCTGCTCTCCCAAGGCAAGTGTCGTGATCTGAAGGGGAGGAAAGAAGAGAAAGACGTTGACAGGGAAGACAGCAGGCCACGAGTCCCTGGACAGCATCATGAGCAGAGCCGCATGCCGAACGCTCCTTCATGCTGCCATGCTTGAATTATACCTTTAGGTCATCTTTAAAAAAGCATCCTGGTTTCTCCATGATGCCACGGTGCCTACAGGGCCCCACCAGAAACCATCGCCCACGTTCAGGATGTGAGGTTAGCATGACAAAGCTCAGCCACACACTCACAAAAAGCTCAGAGAGAGAATGGCAGGAGAGAGAGCTCAGGAGAGGGAGCTCTAATACAGCCTGCCAGGCTATTTCCAGGTCCATCACAGAGGCCAGCAGAGCCTCAACCCCAGTGTCCAGGCATGAAACCCTCCACCACAGTCACCAGAAGCAGCTCTCCAGATCACCTTTTAGACTAAGGGGGTTACTGCTTAGGGATGGGCTATATTATGGGATGCAGGGGAAAAACAGTTTAATTCTCACAGGATTTAATGAGAGATCCTTTGCAAAGGAACCAAAGGGACCAGGTGGGACAAGGGAGGGGTGATTTAGGGAGGGACAAGAGGGGGGAAACAGAAGTGGAAGGGGATAAAAAGGGTAAGATGCAGCTAAAGAGCTTGCTGGTCAGTACAGTTGTGCTATGCACCCTGTCTAGGACAATTGGCCAGGGACCAGCAGGCAACAATCGTTCAGCACAGTAACCAGAACCTCAGGGAGCTGGCAGCTCTGGTCGTAGGGCTCTGTTTATTGCAAGGAAATTGTGTGTGTATATATAGGAGAATTCCAGTGTATGAGTCACACAATTAGTAATATGAAAAATCAAACAAATTACAAACAGCTTATTTCAGGTCACAGTCCTGAACATCACTTTTTAAAACTGTGTTTTGGTGTTTTAGAAGTGCATTTGTTTATTATTATTTTTAGGAAATGTTTTTGGCTGTTTTATAATTGCATTCACTTAACATCACTTATTAAAACTCTGGTTTGATTTTTTTTAAAATTGCATTTGTTTAACATAACCTTTAGAAAACATCTCACATTTTATTTAGTCACCTTTACCTCATCATTATTTTTTCATTTTGCAAGTTGTGTGACTCGTGCACTTGACCTCCCCTAAATGTACATACGGTTTACTTGCAAAAATAAGAGCCCCATCAGCAGAGCTGCCTGGTCCCCAACTTTCTGGTCACAGTGCTGAATGAGCACCATCTGCCAATCCACATAGAGTTGAGTCAGCAACGTGGAAGTGTCCAGCAGCCAGGTAGCAGCAGCCAGTTGACCCTTTCCCTGTGGGTGTGATCAGCATTGTGTCTCCTGTCATCTTATTAAATACCTTTCCAAGTCTTTCCTGGGTGAGGGCTTTCTATTCTGTGTGCACATGTACATATCAGGGTGGGAACACAGCAGCTGGGGTCAGACCAGGGGTTAGAGGGACCATGTATCTGTGGTCCAGCAACTGCAGCGAGTGTGGGTGTGCAAGGGTGTGATGACTAGTGAAGATCAAGTGGACCAGCCTGTGAGCATGCAAAGTGGCCTCAGAGCCAGGAGTGTGAGTGGATTCCTAAGGACCAGCTCCAGGTGTGAGAGCACCCAAGTGTCTCTAAGGGCTAAAGCACATGGGAAGTCCTGGCCAGCTGTGTGTTTGACAGCAGGTACTAGCAGCTGGAGCAGGGCTGGGGCCTTGGGGACTTGTATGTCCAGATGCCAGCGACTGAGGAGACTGGGATCCAGGGACAAATACTGGGCTGAGTGTCTAAGCCTGGCTGCTGGAGGGATCCACCTATGTCTGTGTACATTCTCACTTGTGAACTTCCAACCTGTCCAGCCAGAGAGGGGAGCAGGACGGGGCTGTTGGTGCTGTCCATGTTCACGTGGGTGCTCCGAGTGTCTGCCTGTGATCTGTGTGGCCAGTCATGCATAGGTAACATATATAAGTAGGGTGTATGTGTGCATTGTGTGCATCTGCCTGCTGACCAGATCTTCAACCTCACTACTGTCTGGACAGAGAGCAGTGGTAGTGCCACCTCTCTCAAGCTGTTGTGTTGGGTCTGGTATGATATAGTGTCCTTTAGCAAAGATTACTCTCCTTCAAAAACAAAATATGGTCAAACTTCTCCATTTAACTCAAAAGAAGACTGCCTCTCTTCCCTAGGTGCACACTATGCTTGCCACTTGTAAGGAAATGGAGCATTTATTCTATTTTATCTTTCATTTAATCAGACTGTTATTTTGAAATCAGACATGTACAAGAAGAATCCTAGATACTAGAATTTTAGATTCTCTTTTGTCCTCTGATTTGTTGCCATACTAATGATCCTGACACCTGACAGTGAGTGGGACAGCTGCTTCTGAGATGTTTCATTTCCCCAGTTGAGAGCCACCTGCCAGCCTTCCCCAAAAGTAAGAACTCATCTAAAACCCCAGTGCTATCATCTGTTCCCATCAAGAGGTCTGAGCTCCCAGAATGGTACTGGTTTCCTTTCCATTTAATCCTCAATAACCACCTATGTCCCATATTTGCTACAAAGCCCCCAAACATGGTAGTATTTACTATGTTCCTTCACACAACACCCCTGTTCTCAACCATGTTCTTCATTTTATATTTAAGCCTCTAGACTTAAAGTACTTAATACTTTCCCTCACTGAAAAACCCAACACATATATCATATTTTCCCTTCTTTCACTACTTAAAACCACACTTTGTGAAAGAGAATTGAACATTATGACTGTTAAACCTTCAGTACAGCAGTAACCTTTAAAAGACACCCTCCTGCCAGGCAGCTGAGCTGGGGCACACAGTGCTATTTCTGCTTTTACAAGCCTAGTGTCACTGCCTTGCCCAGCCCCCAGGTTTAGATCTCTGAAGTCTGAAGTATAGATTTAACCATAAAGAGATTTGTTGCAGCTGATGGTAGAGCAGAGATGAGTTTATCTCCTAGGAAGTCCAACAGTTTTTCACAGTCTGAAATAAGGTACATTGATGCAGAGTCTAATTGAAGGGCACTGTCACCACCGTGTCAATGCCTTCCTCAAAGCTTGCATCATCAGAGTGGTGCCAAGCCAGGAAAATACAGAAAAAAAATAGGCAAGTTTCACAAAGATCTTTAAAGGAAAAAAAATAATTGTCTGAAAGATGCAAAACATTTTACTGCCCTCTCTGCTTCAATCCCTGTCTCCCTTTCGGTAAAAGTTTGCATAATTTAAAAGAAATAAAATCAATATAATCCAACAGTGAAAACAGAAGTTCTGTGAGACAGACCAGAAATGTGAAGAATGTAAGAGAGAGTCACATTATGCCTGCTACAGGTAGCAACAGGTCAGCTTAATAAAAGAACAGAATTTTCCATTTCAGGTTGATGATTCTTCAGTTAAAAAAAAAAAAGTCCACAGAGAATCTTTTATCTCTCAATTTTTTTTCTCCATTTGAACAAAAGTCTTTATCATCTTACGATTTTTCAAGACATCTTTAGCCTTTCCAAGAGACCTCTTTGGAATGTTTCTATTCTACCTGTCGACCCTAACACATCACCTGGCTGGTAGCACCAGGCACTGGTGTTCCTGGGAACAGCCATGTCATGGTGAGCTGCCCTTCCCCTTCATACCCTCTGCTTTCCTTCAGACCCAAGAGGGTAACACACACTTTCTTTCCATACAGTTGCAAGAAATGGCAAGACCCTGACATCTCCCCTGCCTCTGTTTCTCTCCCTTTTTTCTCTCTTGCTCCACTTGTGTTTGGAAGGAAGAGTAGTGAGGGAGATTTTTTCCAACCACATTACACCTGTGGTAAGTGGTGTAGTTACTGCTAGACTGGTAGCAAAGAGTTTGAGGGTGGAGGAAAAGAGATGAATCCCAGCTCCACCCTGACGAAACAGCACATCAACAGCAAATATTTACTCCAGCTCTGTCCCACAGTGAAAATTTACGGCCTGAATGTTAGGGTTTGCAAATAAAATTGCATCTATTTTATGACTTTTGCTCTTTGCCAATACAACTTATTCAAAGATCACCACTCATGAATGCCTGTAACTGTCTGGTGCTGGCCCTTCTCTGGAAAGTTCTGCTTGGGAAGACACCAAAACATCAGTGCAGCAACACAGGAACACACACAGAGAGGGAAAATTCTAGCCAGTTTGTGTCCACGTGGAGGTTTATAATGTTTGGCTGTGTCATTGCTAATCCCCTTTGCATTTCAACATAATTAATACACTGCCATGGGCAAAACATTCTTGACATGGGGAATTTAATTTAGTAATAGAATGCCAGGCTGGAAGGGACCTCAAGGATCATCTGGTCCAACCTTTTGAGGTATGACTATAATTTATATGAGATGGCTCAGCACTTTGCCAAGCTGAGACTTAAAACTGCCCAATGTGGGGAAATCTACAGCTTCCCTTGGGAGACTATTCCAATGATGAACTGTCTTCATGGTGAAAAATGTACCTCTTGTGTCCAATGGGAATCTCCCCAGGAACAACTTGTGCCCGTTACCCCTTGGCTTTTCCATGCAACTCCTTGTAAATACAGAGTCTTCATCTTCTTGGTAACCACCTGTTAAGTACTGGAACATTGTGATAAGGTCTCCCTGAAGCCTTCTCTTCTCAAGGCTGAGCAAACCCAGTTTTCTCAGACTCTCCTCATACGGCAGGTTCTCCAGCCTCCTGGTCATCCTTGTGGCCATTCCCTGGACCCTCTCCAGCCTGTCTGCATCCTTTTTGTAGAGCGGGGTCCAAAACTGAACTCAATACTCCAGATATGGTCTGACAAGCACCAAATAGAGTGGGATGATGACTTCTTGATCTCTGCTGCTGATGCCCTTGTTGACACGGCCCAGCATCCTGTTGGCTTTCTTTGCCCCTGCAGCACACTGCTCACTCATGTTGAGCCTGTTATCCACCAAGACTCCCAGGTCCCTTTCCACAGGGCTGCTCTCCAGCCAGGTGGATCCCAGTCCGAACTGCACTCCTGGGTTATGTGCTCCCAGGTACAAGACCTTATACTTTCCCAGTTGATCTTCAAAAGGTTCTTGCGAGCCCACTCCTCCAGTCTGTCCAGGTCACCCTGGAGGGTGGCTCTCCCTTCTGG